AAAATCTTGTTGGAAAAGGATTAAGGATTTTACAAATAGTTAAACTTACATCGAAGTGCATCCTGCTTATTGTAATATCAACCTTAAGTATTTTAATGGAACCAATGTTGTGATAAAATAGTAATAGACTAAATTTAAAAAAAAGTTGGACTCATTTATAAATTTTCTACTTTTGTTAATATGTTCAACAAATCCAATTTAAACTGAACTTGAGATAGAACTCCCACCCGTTTTTGTGAACAAAAGATTGTAGTCTTTTTCAATAGGTGGCATTTGAATATAGGTGATTTTGTTTTGTGTCACATGAGGTTGTTTTTATAACATTTTACATATTCTGAAATACAGTATATTTCAATGTGTATTGATATACAAATGAGGTTATGGATTTTGAATTTTAAATGTTTTTATGTGGAAAGAAAATGGAAAAAATTGATCAAAATGTGCAGAAATAAAGAAATTTAAAAAAATTAAAATAACTCTTGACAAAAAAATATATTGTTTATGGAGATGATTCCATCATGGATCATGTGAACCCTAGATACAGAATTTGGATATTTTTGACTTGGATGAGGTTGACAAAGTTTCCAGCAGTCACAGATAGAAATGATATAAATTGAAACACTGATTAAAAAAGGATTCCGATTTTTAAGAAGGGGAGCACAAAATATTCCACATATTTCATATACATTTGAGTTTTTTGAAAAAAACTTGATTATGTGAATCCCTAAAATGTTTGGTGTATTCATAATTTAATGGACCACCTTACCCCTCCCACAGTCAATTGGAATTGCTCAAAGAAATTCAAAAATAAAATGGGAAAAAAGGCAATGAAATTGTGATAAAGAGTTAACAATATTATAAGCAAAAAAAAGGTCCTATCCAATGATGAAAAACAAATAACATCCAAAGAAAGTGGTCATTTGTAATCTAATGAAAGTGTATGATACAGAAAAATTGATTCAAGTCCTGATAAGGTAGGTAAAAAAAAAAAAAAAAAAAAAATCATAGCATGATGAAAAAAGACACCAAACTTGATGAAAATAATTTTTTCATTGTCTAAATGTTTATGTTATTATTAAGAGGAAAGATCAAAGTATTTTGGGGTATTTTTTTACATTTTTAAATTGTTCCAAGCATGTCCGAAATTTTCATAAAAAAATCTTGTTTTTTTGAGTCAGCAAAATTGACAGATAATCAATGATTATTTTAGAAAATAAAACAAAGCAAGTCATTTTTTCCATTTGGATGAAAAATTGACAAATTTCAGTTTCAAATTTGTTTTAAAAACGAAAATTAAAAATATTTTTTAAGTGAACAAAATTTACCTTGTTATTTTTAGGAAAAATTTATTTAATTTTTTTTTTTTTTTTTTTTTTTGCTTTTTACTTTAGTTTACAATGCTTTATGGAAAAATATATTATAAAGTTTAAAAATAAGACTGTTAAAGTGAGATTAAATTTCATATTTCATAAGAAAAGGTATCTAATTAATTTATTCAGTACCTTTCTTATGAAATTTTATCAGAAGTGTACATAAAATACTATAATTTTATGTACATTTATTACATTTTACTGTGTTATTTGTATTTCCATTCATTTTATTATTAATTTTGATATTTCATTTATGGAAAAATGTCATAACTGAGATTAATATAAAAATAAGATCATATAAATTTCATAAGATGATACTGATACTTGTAGGTACCCTTCTCAGTTGAAATTGAAAAATCAAATTAACTTCTCCACATACGTGTTTCACAAAAAATAAAGGCCTTAACAGTGGAGAACAATGCTTAACTCAAATAATGCAACTTAATTATATTCTGGTTGGTCTTCCGTATTTTATAATTACAGCTCGATTATAAACACAAAATTACATTTCTTAATACTGTTTGGCTCTTCTGATTAGTCAAAACAATACAATTTAAAAGAAAAAAAAAGATCTATCTTATAAGGACATTTTGAAAAAACTGAATGGCTTTTTAACTAATTTTATAATATTTTAACAACTTAAATGTAAAAATCTATTATAATTAAAGAAATAACAAATAATTGTATTAAAAATTCATTTTTCATCGAAAAATTTTTTTTTGCTTTCAGAAAATATTGTCCATATTCATAAAAAAACTAAAAGCAAATAAAAGCATTTGAAATTAAATATCTTTGTTTTATTGAGTTTTGTATGTTACAATTCAGAGCTGATTTTCAGGTAGGTGGGATCCAATTAAAAACAAAAAAAACATGATTTACATTCCTCAAAGCCTTGTTCTTTTAACTATTGTAATCACTAAACCTGATGCAATCGAAATTCTAGCGTTTTCATAAAATTAGTTATGGGGTGGGGTGATAAATATAAAAAAAATATTTCTGCCATGACTTTAATAAAAAAAAAAGAAACATATTTATAATAATTTCGATTATCTGTGAATAGTTTCTGAAAGTTTCATTAACATTTGACAATTATTTTTATTTTTGCAAGATTTTCCAAATTAATGTCTGTCATACAAAAAAAAAAAACATGCTAAAAATTGTATATGTTATTTTACTAGTTCCGGTGATACAAAGAGAAACAAGGTTTTTTTTAATCAAAATTTAGAATGTTCTAAAAAGAAGGAAAAATTTAAAAAAATAATTAAAAAAACTTTGGTCTTTCCTCTTAATAATAACATAAGCATTTTGATGATAAAATTTTGTTTTCGTCAAGTTTGGCAGCTTTTTCATCATGCTATGCTCTTTTTTTAGCGATCTCATGGAAGTACCTATGATAAGGCAAATTTTATGGTGTAAAAGGGATTTAACATATAAACACTGTATAAAAGATAGTATCACTCTTTCCTTTGTAACCAAATGGTTGTTATAACATTGGTCACACCATTTTACTGTTGAACTAGCTAAATGCAATCATAATTTCTATTGTAATAGTTTCTTTTCTCACATTTTTTTGCCTGTGGAACTCCCTTCCAAGCCACCAACAATCTTCACTAATTTAAATGCAACATCAATGGCCATCTTCTGTTTTCCTGAATCCTGTTCCTTTATTCTCTCTTTCCTGACTTCTCCTCACTAAAGTCTTATTCTTTTTCACTTCCTGTAACCTCCTGCATGGCATTATCAAATGATTAAAAATTAAGGATGTCATTATCAAATGATTAAAAAATAAAGAGTTTCTCAGTTTTTAAAATCTCTAAAGGTTGTATTCAATCAAGCTAAAAGGACTTCAGCTGAATTGACAGTTTAATTCTATTTGCAAAGATTTTTTATACTTGTCATTTGTGTATAATTTAAAAAACCTAAATCAAACTTGTCCACTTTTATTGAAAATATAACATTTTAATTTAATTTTGAATTATAGTACAAATCTCCCTGTATTAAATGATTCTCTTTACATAAAAGATAACAGTTATTTTTAAAAAGTCACTGTCTATATTTAATTAACAAATTTGCTCGTATTTCACCGTATGTACATCCTTATTAAAATATGCCAATTCTTCTATTTGCAATAAAATGACTGACTTCATAATTCATTTGCCATGACAAGGTAATTATATTGTTAAATAGAAAATATATTTAAAAATAGTACAAAGGTTCCTGAAACTGAATACAAACATCCAATTTATGACATGTTCATTCTTTAAAACTTTCTAAAACCTACAAACTCCATTTTTTTTCATTTTAGAATAATTTTAAAAAGTAGAGCAGTGTGTAACTTTGCACTGGCCCTGTTTGAATGTTTAATTGCATGAAATTGCAGGACAGTGATTTGAAGGGACTTTTAATTGGGTAACAGTTATTGAAATTTGCAGGAGAGTAAGCTGAATGGTTGAGAAAAAAATGAAAGAAGAAAGAGGTTAAAAATTACATTTTAAAATAATAAAATAAATTTAAGAACAGTTTCAAGGCAAATTGAATCCAAAATTAACTAGCCAAGATTCACTAAAATTGAGCAAAACCTAAGTTTTCCACACAATCCTCTTCTCATTCATAAAAAGACATGATTAATAGGTTGTCTGAATTTTTATTTACTTCTGAGAAATTAAATTTGGACTTTTGCTTACTTTATACTATCTGTCCAAAATGTATGTGTTCTTACAGAAGGAGTGGATCTAAATTCTTCTAGACAAAGAAGAGCATCTGTTTTTTGTTTAATTCCCAAGTTTGGAATTTGTTTATGTTGATGCAGTCCACCCAAGAGCACTATTATCTTTACAGAAAGAGAGAACAGAAAATTCTAAAAAACAAAAGGAATGCCATATCTCTTATTAACAGACCTCCTAAGATTAAGATGGTCAGAATAGAGAAATTAGATATATCAATGTCAAATTTAGGGGTAGTTGGAGTCATCTATATAAATGAGAGCCCACCAGGCTAAGGGACTGATGGCCAACAATCAGACAGACAGACAGTCGCCACCTCACAAGAAATATACCAACATTTTCAGCTGTAGGTTGAGAGTTTTCCTTTTTAGCTATGCTACACAACATACATAAAATGGTTCATACTAAACTTCACCATCAATCCCAATATTTTGAGATTTTGGGAAACCTGAATGAACCCTATCTAAATGATACACTGTCCCCAACTGAGGATGGAAAAGAAAGGTAATCTGTAAGGTTGGTATTACTCAACAAAGCTAGTGACTGAGGAAGAAGAGGAGAAACAGACAGGAGAGAAAGTGTGGTAGAGAGGGTGTAGGTTACAAGTGTAAATAGAAATTCTTCTGAATATATTTTGTAACTTTTGAAAAATACACTTTCCTTCTGTAAACAATATTAAAATAATTTTGAGCATTTTTAGTGATAAATAAAATATACTTTTATAAGTACCAGCTTTAATTTGCTTCACTGCATGTTCTCTCTATTTCACTTTAATTAGTAAGTTTATATCTATTTATAGTTTTTAATAATGAAATTATCTTTATATTTAAAGATCAGTTAAAAATTATTTTCATTGTCAAAATTGTTATTTAAATTCACAAAACTGTACTTTTCGAAGTTGATTTACCTTGACTTTGACTTGGAGAATAGCGTCCACGTCCACGAAGTTCTTTGATAAGGCCACTAAAACTTTTTTCAAAAGGATATTTGCCACTAAAGTCAAAAAATAGCTTTGCTCCAAGCATTGCACCTAACCAACCATCAGGATTGTATTTCTTTTGCATCATCATTGGAATGTAGTCTTTACGTAACCGGAAAGTATATTCAGCCTCTGGAAATGAGTTATAAGAATAAAAAGAAAAAAACATTCATAGAAAATGATAAATTAAGGCAATTTACAATTCATAAATCTCAAAGCCAAACCATTTCAAAGGTTGATATCTATCGCAAGAGAAACAAATATTTCTCTCAGGATTATCTCCATGTACAAGCTATGTCCAGAGTGGGAAATTAAATAGCATAATGACAAAAGGAATTCTAGAAAATAGATGTCTTTCTGAAAATGTTATTTATACAGAAATTTTATACATTAAAAAAAAATTCTATTCCAAATTACTTTTCCCTGTTTGTAAGATGGATATTTGGCTGATATTTTAAAAAATAAATCATGCATAAAACAATATTACTTTATTTAGGCATTCAATAAAACTAAATTTGGTTATCAATAAATAAATTCTAGGTCTCACTTTTTTTTTTTATACATTTATCTAATATTCCAGTCTACATGTTTCTATAAGAAATATAAAAAATGAATTTTGAAATCTCAAGTAATCATGTATGAATGATAAAATTGAGGTTGATTACATTAAGACAAAAAGAAATCAATCCAATAACTTTTATCATCAATTTTAACATTTTTTAATTTCAAATAATTTTAGATTAGACATTTTAAAAAAATATTTTACTGAAAAAGAGACATTTTTTTGTAATGGAAAGAATATATAAGAGTCAAGCATTCTTACCCGTGCGACAGTTTGGACTTTGTTTATATTTCTCAGACATGCAAATTAAAACAACAGCAGCATTTTCAATCCCTTCAGCCATGGCTTGTAAGTTTGATCCACTTATACAGTCAACATCAATCCATAGTTGATAGCCTTCCTCCTTCAAAAATAAAAATAAAGCAATATTGATTTTTTTCTTTATTTAAGAATAACAAATTGTTGTTTTTAACCCCTCCAAAACAAATCTGCTTTTCTTTAATTGTATAGAAGAACTTTTTTGCCTTCCCTCAGCATAGCTGATGCTAATTCCAGGAGAGAAACTCATTGCACTTTCTCAGTCAAATGTTTTCCACTGACATGAAGTGGAATGATTATATTGAATCAATTGCTAGGTCTGCTGCTAGGAAAGTTGGTTCACTGTATTGTGCAAGAAAATTTTTCTGGCCAGAATCTATCTTACACATTTATAAGTCTACCATTTGTCCATGCATTGAATATTGTTGCCAAATCTGGTGTGGTGCTTCTGCTATGTATCTAGAGATTCTTGATAGAATTCAAAGAAACTCCAATGTCATCAATCCTGACCTGTCATCTTGGCTTCAGTCACTTTCCAACTGTTGTAACGTAGCTTCCTTGATTTTCCTATAAATATTTTCATAGTAATTGTTCTGATGTTTAAGTGTAATACTAGATTGGCAGCTGTATCTCATCATTTTACTGTTGAAATTACTAGATGTAATTGTAAACGCTATGCTAATAGTTTCTTCTCTTGCATTTCTCAGTTGTGAAATTCTCTTCCAGCTTAACAATTATCTTCAAAAATTTAAATGCCATGTTAATCATCATATTCTCACTACATGAATCCTGGTCATTCAAAGTCCTCTCAGTTTCTTTCACTCTCAGTAATTCCTTGTGTCTTACTGGTTTTATTGACTTAAGCAAATGATTTTAAAAAAATATAAAATAGAAAAGCTTACCTCATTTAGTATTTATTATTTATGATATCAAAAATCCAGAAAATATTTTTTCAATAAATTTTGGTAAAAAAATAATAATATCAAAATTTAGATGAACATATTTTCAAGAAAAACTGAAAATTTATTTTAAACAAGATGATGTTTTGTAGACTGGAATTAAATTTTATGTTCAATATCTGATTAACATTTCCAAATTCCCAGAGTAGAAAGATAATTAAAAATCAAATTAATAAAAATAATGTGATTTGTAAAGATCAATTAGTGTACTAATTGAGCATTGATCTTTTCTTAATAAATTCTTCTTACCTTTAATCTGTCACGCACTCTCCACACACTTTCTTTGTCTACTTGTGAATAACTAATGAAAACATGAGTTTTAGTTCTTGTTCGAAGAGTTTCTTCTGAAATGATGAAGGTGTAACAATTCATTTTTAGCATAATAAAATTCAGGAAAGTAAAAATCTGATTTGGGCACAATTAGAAGGAAATAAATGACCAAAGTAAAGACATTTTTAATTATTATATTACAATATTTAACAAAGAAAATTTTGTTCTGAAACACAATTTTAGTGAAGATTCTATTGAGTGGTAAAGAAGGTTTTTAGTTTATTTATTTTTGATATTAACTTTATTGTATTTACCACTCTGTTGTACTGTTTTCTGCTATCTTTCAGGCAGCTTCATAATTTCATCTTCCAAGAACTTTTTATTTTTCTCAGTAAAGAACCACTCGAAGTGCCTTTTACAGTCTTGTGAACATTTTTAATTATTATATTAACATATACAATATTTAGCTTTCAGTTTTTGCAAAATTCTCAAATGGATGATTAAAAATGGACTTATCTGGTTCCTTGAAGTTAATAACACAATTACAAACTTCCAGAGTAGTTTTTAGAAAGAACAGAAGTTTTGTCTGGGATATTCTATTAGAAACACTTTTATTAAAAAGGAACACTTAGCAGAAGTGTTCTTTGATATAGAAAAAGCCTATGATACAACATGAAAGCATGGCATCATACAAGATCTAAATAAAATGGGACTCAAAAGAAGGCTATCAATCTTTATTAAGCATTCTAATAGAGCATGTTTTCAATGTCTGAGTTGGCAGTACTCTTTTTGATATATATGATGACCATAAATGGGTACACCACAAAGGAATATCTTATCAATTACCCTCTTTAATATTAAAATAAATATCATTAAATGTCTGAATCCAGGAACTGACTGTATATCAATGATTTCTTAATTTGCTATAGATAAACAAAAATATACATACAGTCAAGCACTAATTTCAGCGTTGTCTAAATAAAATTAATAAATGGGCTATAAAAAATGGATTTAGATTCTCCAAAACAAAATCTCAGTGAGTACATTTCTGTCAATTCTGAAAGTTACACCACAATCCTGATTTAAAACTTGATGTTTCTGATATTCCTGTAATGAACCAATATAAATTCTTGAGCATTATCTTTTAAACTTCACATTAAATATCTATGTTAAATGTAATAAAACAACCCAAATATTCAGAGTAGTTGCCTACACAGACTGAGGTGATAGAGAAACTTATTGAAATTATATTGATCACTACTTAGGTCCAAATTGGATTATGGTTACTACATTTATGGTGCTGCAAGGAAGTCATACCTGAAGAGCTTGATATAATTCATTAGCAAGGACTACAACTCCTCCTAGGAGGTTTTAAAACATTTCTAGTGGAAAGCTTGTACACGAAAACCCATTATATATCTTTGACCCTAAGATGGCAGAAATTAGCTCTACAATATTATACCAAACTACATTCCTGTTTGAAATAACCCTGTATTCAACAGTGTTTTCTAACTACAATATAAAGATCTAGTCAATAAAAAAAACAGCCATTATACCTCACAGCCTTTACATTCATTATTAATGAATCATAAATAGACATTACCCTAATGCTTGAATCTCCTACTCTGGAAAATCCCCCTTGGCTAACAAAACAGCCAACAGTTTTACTAAACCTTGCTAAACACCCTAAAATTAATACCAGTGCATCTACATTTTTAAAAGAAATTGATAATATTTTACAGAAGCAGCCAAACTATAGGCACATATATATGGATGGCTCAAAAAACATTGATAAACTCAGATGTCCAGCTGTTCTTGATGACACAACAATCAAAAAAGGCCTATTTGACAAATCCTCTATTTTTAGTGCTGAAGCTATCACCATAGACTTAACTTTAGACATCACTAGCAGCCTGGCCTGGCATTGCCTGTGCTTGATTCAAAAATCGTACGACTCGTACAGCAATCGCTATCACTTGACTTAAAATATTTTTGCCCTTCCTTGCCTTTAAAGGAGTGTCCTTTGCCATGCTGATGTTGCTACATGCCTTACTTCTTGCCTATCTCACACTGTGATTTTTTTCTAAGCTCTATACTAAACATTAAATCTGTTAAAAAAAAGAACTAAACAAAATGAAACACAAAACGATCAGCTTTAAAAAAAGGACTCAGAACTGGAAAAACCGAATGAAAAAAAAATGTTAACAACAAATACTTTTTCACACCCAACCCAGTTCTGCGGAATCAGAATCAATGTTGAGTTTAAGCAAGCAAATGAACCAATTGGAGTAAAGTTCCATGCAAATTTAAATTTTTTCCACTTGTGATAAATGCAGCTATCGATTTTTTTTGCATGCTAGCATGCTTAGTTAACATTCGTGTCAGTCAGCTGTTGGCTCTCACGCTGGCCAGTAGAATCTTCCTGCCTATTCGTGGCAGCCAGCTATAGGCTCTCACTCTGGCCAGTATAAAATGGCTGCAAACTACATGAAAATTGCCGTAGAGGCATGAAAAAAATCGATTATTTCCACTATTGACAGGAGTTGGGAAATGCAAAGTCTGTCTTGGCCTTCCCGCTAACTTGGAGCATGTACATGTAAATTTTGGTGCAAATCCGTCGAAAATTGCAACCGTGCATTCATTACACACACACACACACACACACATTCTGCTTTTTATAGATAGAGATAAAAGACAATGTATAAGAAATTTAAGCTGCTTGAGCACGTATTGTCTGCTTTTCTGACAGAAAACAGATGCTGTGTTGGGCTCTTGCTTAAACTTTTGAATTTCAAAAATATTTTTGGTACAATTTGATTTGTGGGAAAACAGCTCTATTTGTTTTTCATTCGGAACCAATCAAAAGGTTTCCCTTCAAATTCAGAGAAGTGAAATGTGAAATGGTGAACAAAAGGAAAATCAGGAATTGAATTCGAGGAGTTGACAAAGAGCTGCTGCATGATCCCAGGTCAGACCAGTCAAGGAAAAAAAAAGAACACAGAAGAAATTTGACAACCACCAGATGAGAATTGAATGGAACATCAAAGTTACTTCCACATCAAGGAAAATTCTTCAGCTGGTGTGATTTTTCTGTTCTTTGCTGCTACTATGAACTTTGCTTCAAAAATTTGTTCTTTGAAAAACTATTCAGGGAAGTATTTTTCCCCTTTCTTCATTTATTTTTATGTCATTTACCTTTTCTGAGGATCTTATGCAGCATTGTAATTTTTATTGTAAAAGAGGCATATTTCATTTGCATTGATTATTTTTATATACGTTTGTATTGATTATTTTTACTTACATCATTTGGCACACAAAGCACTTAATTTGTGTAATTCTTTCATTTTTAGGTGTTAACAAATTTATTGTCTGTTTTTTAAACTTGGCTCATGTTGTCTGTCTTTATTGTGTACCCTTATAAAATAAATGTTACCTCAAACATTTGTTTGAACTATTTTTTTTGTAGGATTTTTGTACCAAATAAAAAATTCTTTAAATGAGCCAGACAACTTCATAGTTTTCTCATATTCACTATCTGCACTGAGAAACAAAAACATAAACAATCCCTTATTAATTAAATTACTAAAAAGGATAAATCTCATCTGCAAGAAAAAAAAACTTCTTTTGGGTAGCCATATCAACATCTGGAGAAATGGAAAAGCTGATATGACATCAAAGGAATCCCTAAAATTGAACATTTCAAATTTGAAAATTCTCTATACAGACTTCAAAGCAACTAGTATAAACTCGTACACTCTAAACAAGTAGCAAGAGTTATGGTGCAACTACCACCAAAACAACAAACTTTATAAAATTAAAATCATTCTAGGAAGGAAGAAGGAAGTCATCCTATCAAGGATCAGAATAGGACACACCTATATCACTCACTCATTTCTCTTAAAAAAATTATGTCAGAAGATATATATTGTAAAACATATTCTAACTGATTGTAGCGACCTTGCTCTTATATGTCAATGATTTTATGACATGACTAATATAGAGGACCCTTTCAAGAAGATAAAAGTAGAGACTATCATAGCCTACTTGAAAGAGGTTAGACCAAACCACAAATTATAACACTAAATGACTATTTTAAAGGTATAACTGGCAAGTAATGTAATCAATGACCCAAAGGATTATTTACAATCCATATTAAAAAAAACATTTGGCATTTAATAACCAACAAAGTGGATATGCCATGAAGACAGAACAAGCAATCAATCTTCAAAACAGTCTTACAGAGAATTAAAAAGTTATCCAATAATAATTCTGTAAAGAGCACTGTAATATAGTAAAGTATTAGACAACCCATAAATTCATTGGGTTCCTTTTAAAAGCAGTTCAAAGCAAGCAAAATGATGAGATAACAATATTAACATTTGTATTATTAATTACACATATTTTAATTTGTATTTGCAATACAAGTTGTAATAATTTTCATTCAATGTAATAATTCTTATTACTCACATTATACAATATTACTTTTTTTAGAATGGAATTGCAAACTGATATCACACTAACAACCTTTCCCTTCAAGTAATAGTAGTCCTGGAGTGACAATTTATACCAATTTTAGTATTTATCATATATATATATAATTTTCAAAAGGTGAAGAAAGAAAAACAGCAAACATCAATCATCTGCTTACGGAGATTCATATTTACTGAAATAACAAAGTACCTCTTTTTTGTGTACTTAGTTTAATTGTTTTTCTAGGTAATTTTTTTAAAATAATAATTATAATTTTCATTTTACATACTTGTTTCTTCCTCACATTTATTTCAAAATACGTAACAGCAACAAACTAACGTGTATCTATTTATTTTAGGTACTCTCAAACAAAATGGATAATTTTTTTACAATGAAAGTACAAAAAATCAACCTCCCTGTTTTATAATATTTGCCTAAAATCAGCAAATTCAAATGAAAATCTCTTTAATTATAAGTTCATTTTCCTCCAAAGAAAGAAGTTACTGCTGTTTGTGACGTTTCTCTCAGAGCAGTATTGTTTCATATCATGGATGTGTCTGAGAGGCCTATTACCTTCACATCAAGGACTCTTGCACTGCTGAAAAAAACCTGTGCCCAGATTGACAAAGAAGCAGTGGCTTTGGTTTATGCAGTTAAAACATTTCACCAGTATTTGTATGGCTTGCCTTTTAAATTGTATACTGACCATAAATCCCTTTCAAGATATTTCAACGAAAATACAAGAATCCCTGAAATAACCTCTGCAAGGATCAAGAGGTGAAATGTAATATTACCAGCTTACACATATTAACTTGTGCATTGGGAAAGTAAAAAAAAATGAGAATGCTGACTGCCTACCAAAATTAAGGAAGTTCCAATGCTAGAGGAAACTATTATGCTGCTAGAGTATCTTGACCCCCACACTCCAATCACTTGCTAAGAAATTGCAAGATGGACAAGGAAGGATACCACTCTCAAACAAGTATTGATGTACATTAAACATGAATGGCCCAATAAATGTCCTAATCCAGAAGAATGGTGTCCCTATTTTACAAGGAATTATGACTGGAAGTTGTAAATAAAATGTGTATATTGTGGGGCAATAGAATTATTGTACCCCTGCAGGGATGGAAACAACACTTAGAAGCACTCTATGATAGACATCCAGGAATGGTTCAAATGAAGTGCTTAAGTAAAAATTATTTTTAGTGGCTTAATCTAAACAAGGACATTAAGTTTAAAATGAGGAAGTGTGAACCAACAGTTTGATGCCTACAACAGCACCTTTACATTCTTGGGAGATTCTGGAGAAAGAGTAGTCCAGATTGTATATCGATTATGCTGGTCCATTCAAAGGACGCATGTTCCTGGTAATTGTTGATGCCTATAGCAAATGGATACGTGTATATATAACTAATTCAGCCAGTGCAACCTCAACTATTGAGAGTCTACAAATGTTTTGTGACAGAGATAATTGTTTCAGATAATGCTGCTGCTTTATTCAGTTAGGAATTTCAGGTTTTTATTTCTAGATATGGAATAAAATGTGTAACCACAGTTTAGACAGGAAGATAAGAACTGCTTTGGACTTGGTAATTCCTCACAAAACCTCAATACAAGAATGCATGAGGTGATAGCAGAGAATTAAAAAAAATAAACAATGATAAAGTAGGTTTTGTCTGTGAATTTTAAGAATGTGATTCTGTGCTAGCAAAAAACACAACCAAAATGGTTATGTAGGATGGTCATGATTAAAACAGATCCTTTATCTTATTATCTTATTTGATTCAGTTGGACAAGGGGATCTGTACTAAACAAACCAAGGCAAAATGAAACTGAGGATACAGAGTTATATTTTGATAATCAATTATACAAAAGCTTGCATCAAGACCTGGTCACTCCACAGATCCACCAGGAAAACTCAGATCAGGAACTGAAGTTCACCAAGAAAGTCCTAGTGGCCTTCTTAATGTTTTAATAAGCACTGGAACCTGATCCAGTACAAGAGTTAGAAAACCACTTAGTTATTTGAAAAACTACATAACATGAATTTTAAATATAGCCCGGTAAGATTAAAACTAAAAGGAGAAAAGGTGGACTCTAAAATAGAGTTGTTGCTCCTTACTTATATATCCACAATTACTTTTCAATCACTGTACCCCATATTGTAAATAAAGCCCTTATATTTTACCTACGCTCAATTGTAGTCTGAAGGAACAGTTATTGTTGCCTTCATTTGGTCTAACAGATCAGTAATTGTTTGAATCAATCATTTCTCTGGAAGACATGCCTAGTAGATTCCCTTCTAATCCCACCAGATATGTAGCATCACATTTTTTATACAGTTAGTAGTAGTTCATTCCACTTGACCCATGTTTTCTTGCCTTCCACATTTTAAAGTATCCACTTTCTATTGCCAATCATAATTTATTTTTTTAAAAGATAAAAAAGGGAACATTTTTGTTATATTTAATAATACACAAAAATATGGTCTAGCAGCCTTATTTTGTTTTGTTTTCAATTATGTGGAACTCACAACTCAAAGTAACTTGATTTTCAATGCTTCATTTAGATATTTGGAGTATGTTGGCAATTATCATTTCACAGTTATTATTCTCATGTAATGTTTTCATTTGATCTACTCAAGATAGACAACTCTTATCTGTGAAATTGTACAAACCACTCTTGTCCCATTTAATATACCTTTCTCTGTAAAAAGCACAAATCTTTTTTCAAGTAACATTTTCCCTTAAAATAAAAAAGCATAATACACTAAAAATGTTGCTTATTTCCTTTCATTATCACTATTAGAATTTAAGGAAAAATAGGCCAATTTTGATAAAATATTAAAAAAAACAAAAAAAAAAAAACACTATATGACAGATGACACTAAAAATGTCTTTTTGGTTAAAATTAAATTTTCCTAATGTTGTAACAAATCTCTTGACAAATGCAACTGTTTCAGGATTGTTATTGTTTTCACATATTTCATCATCTCATCATTTATCAACATAAACAGATATCACTGAAGGTTTGAACTGCTTTTCAATGCTATAATAACTGCAGATCATATACAGATATATTGATAAACAGACTGTGGCAGATTTTTTTTATTGTTGTCCTCAATTCTTATTTCCCAGTTTGTAGAAGCTAAGCTGATGTTATGTTTGCAGAGAGAGACACTGAAATCAGGTATAGCTGATCATATATTTAGGGGAAAAGAGCGATCATCAACCATTGTGGAATAAAGTCAAGATAACAGAGAGAAAACAATACTGAATCATAAGATAACCGAAAGAACCAGTGCTTATGTTAGGCTCTGACAACTTCCTCAGTAGACCTAGTATAGAGAAACACTATCTGGGAGACACTGATGAAAAAGATATGACACTCAAGCATTAAGTTTAAAGCACCAAAATTACATCACTGGATTGTCTAAGAGAAACATTTCAATCCTTGGTTTAGGTCATGAGTAAAATCATATACTCTGTTTTAAGAAAAGAAACAAACAAGCAACACAAAGGGGAACAGACTGGAGAATATAAACTGATAAAGAAAAGTTTAAGTTTCTTAAGCATGGAAAGTAGAACGAGAATAATCTACCCCATGAATAGAATAAGGGGCTTAGGATAAAATTCTGAGAAGGTTACAGAGTATGATGATAGATATCTGAAGTAGACTGGAGGATGCAACAACTGAAGTATAGCATCCAAAATGAGTACACTAGTCTAAATGGAAACATATGTAATAATGATAATTCTTTTTTTCAAACATTCCAACATAAATTATTAAAATTCTTGAAAAGAAAAGTGAATTATTTCTCATTCATTTTTTAAAATATAAGCATTTTTCCTAGCATAAAAATTGTATGTTAAGCATGCTTATTTAAAATGCTAAGAATGATTGTCAGAATTCCTAGAAAAGACTTTTAAAAAGATTAGACTAAAAAAATGACTGAATTTAAATCTTTGCAAGATAAAACTAAGATACAATGAATGAATATATTTTGTCTTTCACCATGATTGATTTCAACAGTTCTTAAAAGTAATCCAAGATGATTGGGAAATAGATAATATGCACAAATTGAAATTTGTGTATCTCAGAAGCTAAGATACTGAATAGAGCAACAATAGATAATGACAAGTTACTCACTATCCAATTCTGTCACTTGATTAGCTCCAGTAATAAACCAAAGAGCTCCTCTTGCATTGCTACTGACAGATTTATCTTTGCTGTCTTTCAGATTCTCCAACAGAGTTGCCAGTTCTTGTTCATCCTTAACAAATTTTTCTCGTACTGTCTCATCAAATAAGAGTGTCCACAAAATTCGTGCAGCTGAGCTTTGTTCACGGACATCATCATATTGCAGCATCCGTATTAAGAGTGGCAATATACCACCTTCAACAATCTGTAAGACAAAATTCAACAAAGGATTTACATGCTCCCCCAATAAACAAAATCAGTAAAATTAATGTAAATGAAATATTACTTTTGCAATTTTGTGTTTTAATGAATAAATTTGGTTTGATTTGCAGTGAATATATCATAACTTCAAATAGAAAGATGATGTCAATTTTATCATAAATAATAATTCCATTAGCAGAAAATTACAACTTGCATACTTGAAAAATCTGTGGTATGAATATTGACATATATTTATAACTTGATCACTTCTGATATTTCTCCCAGTAGTGTTCATATACGAGGTGTTGCTCCAAAAGTAATACTTCTTATTTTATTATGTTGGTAGTATGGCAGTAGAAGTTGAACCTTTCACCAATAACCCATAAATGTTTTGGCCTCATTACAGATAGCATTCTTGCAAAATGGCATCTGACATGCAACAAAGAGTTATCATTTAATTTCATCATACAGAAAAGTTGTACCTATTGACATATTGCTGAATGTTTATGGAGATCAAACAGTGGATATAAGCACATTAAGCAGCGGTGATAGAAATATGTATGATAAGCTACCTTCTGGGCAACCCTGCACAGTTGTTGAACCCACAAAATGAAAAGCTTTCAAAAACGACTATATGGTCACTCTATGGAAGAATATAGTTTAAGAGCTGAAATGTTGGTGCTAGCATGCTTCCTGTGTCTGTTATAACTTACATTGATATAAATAGAAAACATTACTTTCAGAATGTACCTCATACATTTCAATTAAAATCTTAATTTATCTTGTGTTATGTAATTTAAATGAAAATTTTATTCAGCATATTAGATTTATTTAAAAGAGAACAATTATTTTAAAGTTATTTCACTGTACTTTCAACATCAGCCTTGTAATGTAAAAATGTTAACCATTATTTGATTGAATATATAACAATGATTTCTATATAATGTCAACAGTTCCACTGCTGATACACATTTATGCTTGTATAAGCAGTTTGTATTCTTAAAGATACTTATTGAAAATAAACCAGCACTGAAACTGTTTATTCACAACCCATTTGGCCATTTCAATCTCATTGTGAGAAACTACTTTTAAAAACAAAATTTTCTTACCTTGAGTTTATTTGAATCAATTACAGCCAACTTTTCTAACCTTGTACAATTTCATGTGGTGTAAATCCTTTGTATCTTCTTTTATTGCTGTCTAGAGCTTTGTCTAACCATTGCAGCATACATGGGATGCTACCTGTAATTTTTCAACATTTAAAAAAAAAAATCATATTTTTTAAAGATTTTAAAAATTAAAACATTTTTGTCATTAAACATTATGACATTAAATATGTCAGCAGTGCTAGCTTTATGGCTTAACTAGTATGATCTGCAGCCCAGGCGCCCCAAGACTAGACAGACTGATAAAACTGCAGAAAAATAAATATATAAGTTCTTATATATATATATATATATATTTAATTTAATTTAATTTTAATTTATTTTCAGATTTAATGGAGCTCCTTTGAACTAATTTGAAATAATTTAGAGTATTTGGCACATCTGGTTGAGTGGGTCTTGTAAATTCAAATTTAAAAAAAGAAAAATTGTGGAATTTTTAATAATATTATGTAAAATATTAAAAAAAAATTGTAATGTTTAAACAAATCAGGAAAAATTTAATTTAATCTAAACTTAATTCTTTCTGCTACATCTGTGTATTTCATTTCTCACTGTGATACAAGTCATTCATTACAATATGATACAATCCAAGAATCTGTTATTTTCTATCTAATCTCTATGATTTATAATTTGGCTATTTGAAGTTGACAATTTTAACAATAAATATAATTAATTTTTTTTTCAGCTGTGGTGATCTAGGATTGCAAGGTTGTAGCAAATCAGAATTTTCCTTCTCTATCATCTTTTTTTTTTTTTAGCACACTTTGCTAGCAAATTTGATTACTAGAATTTCAGTTTAATACAGGCCCTTCATTCCAGATACATTTCTGTAGGATGTAAAGTTTGGATAATGATGTAATGAGTGGTGGCACTAATGTAAAATGAGATAATACTCTGATAGAGGAAAAAAATGTGTTCAAAGTTCAGCGTGTAAAAGCAAAGAAATGTCCCAAATATGAAGAACGAAAAGAAATGTGAATGTTGTGGAGGATTTAATCACACAAAAAATAATTGCTGGTACAAAAACAAAGTATGTTTTGAATGTGGCTGTAAGGAACATAAAAGGGTCCCAATGCTATAAAAGAAAGAAAAGGACCAGTGAAAAAGTGAATGTGATTCTCTCCAAAAAGGAACTAAGGAATGGCGAGAAACAAAAGTATGTCGATGCACATATAAATGGACATATGGTAACATTTCTTTTGGATTCAGGTTCTGATATTAGTATAATTGACAAACAGACATGGAGGAAAATGGTTCGACCTAAGTTGACTGACACAAACAAAGTTTCCAGAGGTATTGCAGGAAAAACACTCAAATTTAAGGGTGAACTTAAGTGTAACATTCTGTTTTGTGATAAAACTTTCAGGTCAAAAGTCTACGTACATAAAGGGAACAACTCCTGCCTTTTCGGCATAAACTGGATCATGCTATTTAATTTATGGGAATTGCCTGTAAATTCTTTTTGTAATCAGAATAATGTAATGGGAAAAGAAAAAATAAATCAGACTGAAAAATTCATTCATGATTTGAAGGATGAATTTCCTAGAGTTTTCTCTGAAGGATTGGGTATGTGTTTGAAAATGGAGCTGAAATTTGAAATAAAAGAAAATGTTACACTGATTTTCAGACCTAAAATAAATGTTCCATTTTCTTCATTAGATTCTTTTAACAAAAAACTAGAAAGACTGGAAAAATTAGGTGTTATTTTGAGAGTGGATCACTAAGATTGGGCATCACCTACTGTGTATGTTAAAAAGACAAATAATAGAATTAGAGTATGTGCAGATTTTTCGACAGGTTTAAACAACTGTCTAAAAGACCGCAGTTACCCGTTTCCCTCATCCGAGGACATTTTCTCAAAATTAAATGGGGGTAAAATATACTCTAAAATAGATATGCCAGACGCATACTTGTAAATCAAAGTTAACAAAGAGTATTCCAAGTATCTGACAATTAACACACACAAAGGATTATTTAAACTAAACCAACTTCCATTTGGTTTAAAAGTTGCACCATCACTTTTCCAACAAATCATGGATATAATGCTTGCAGGGTTAGAATTTGCCATTGCTTATCTGGATGATGTCTTGGTGAAAAGTAAAAATATGGATGAGCATAAAAAACACATAAGGGCTATCTTTAAGAGAATAGAATTCAGATTCAAAGTGAACCCCAAAAAATGTGAGTTTTTTTATGGAAAAAATTAAGTATCTCGGGCAGATTGTGGATAAAGATGGCAGAAAACCAGATCCACAGAGAACTGAAGCCATAAGAAATATGCCTGCCCCAGACAACGTGGCAAAATTGCAATCATTTTTAGGTTTGGTGCAATACTATGCAATATACATTCCAAAGATGTATGAATTAAGAGCACCGTTAAACGAATTGTTGAATAAGGGGGTCAAATGGTGTTGGTCCAAAGACTGTGAAAAAGCTTTTCAAAAAATTAAAAACTGTTTACTGACTGATTTAGCATTGGTGCACTATGATCCAGAAAAAGAAATAGTTGTTGCTTCTGATGCTAGTGAATATGGAATCAAAGCAATGCTAATTCATAAATATGAAGATGGTTCAACAAAACCAATTGCACACGCTTCAAGGACTCTTTTGCCAACAGAAAAGAATTACAGTCAGATTGAACATGAAAGCTTTTTGCAGTTAAAAAATTCCATTGTTTCCTTCATGGTAGAGTGTTTACATAAGCTGTTACTGACCATTTTGGGTTCAAAGAAGGGCATTCCAACTCATACTATAAACCAATTACGGCGGCGGGGTGTAACATTATTGAATTACAATTTTAAAATGGGATATATCTCATCTAAAAATTTTGGTCATGCAGATGGACTATAAATGTTGATTCCAAAACATAATGAAGTCTTGGAAGAAACTGTAATTGCAGCTTTAAAGGACGAACAAGAAATATCACATTTGCTGTGTAATACTGTTTGGGAACTACTAGTGATACTAGGAGACATAAGGAAAGCAGCAAAAAATGATAATTTTATTAAAAATATGAAAATACAAGCCAGGATAAATGAAAAAAGTAAAAAAGGGAATTAAAATTTCTCCTTATTCCATCTGTGAAGATACACTAATGTATGCAGACAGGGTGGGGATGCCACAGGCATTACATAAAAAGATCTTAAAAGAATTTCATATGGGTCACCCTGGCATATCTCGTATGAAATCTCTTATGAGAAGTTGTGTTTTCTGGCTTCGAATGGATACAGACGTCGAAAATTTTGTGAAAAAATGCAGATGTTGTCAGTTAGCTGCAAGAGCACTGCCAGTTAAAACACCACCATGGCCAGAAACAGATATCCCCTGGACACATCTACACATTGATTATGCAGGACCACTTAACGGGTATTATTACCTGATTATTGTGGATAGTTTCTTGAAGTGACCAGAAGTTTTTAAATACAAACACTCAACTTCTAGAAATACTATCAGTGCTTAGACGAAGTTTGGAGCCGCTTTGGAGTTCCTCGGACATTGCTCAGTGATAACGGAACTGCATTTACAAGTAAAGAGTTCAAAGAATTCTGTGCTTCATTGGACACTGAACATGTCACAACTCTGATTTACCACCCAAGGTTGAATGGACAAGCAGAAAAATTTGTTGACACATTCAAATGAGCATTAAAGAAAAATCAAGGGGTAGACACAGAGGAGAAAGCTATACAGAAATTCTTAGCAGTATACAGGGTAACACCGAACATAAACAATAAAGCAAAATCATCACCTGCTCAGTTGATGTTTGCAAGAAAAATAGGGACGATATTCGACAGATTGTTGCCTTTTACAAAAAACAAAAGACATAATAAAGAGAAATTCTGTACAAAGAAATATATGCTTGGGGATAAATTTTTCTTTAGGAACTATCGAGGTGGAAAATGTTTTTGGAAGGATGGTGTTATTTTAAACAGAATTGGAAGAGTTATCTATATGGTAAAAGGGAAAAGACAGGTATGCAAAAGGCATATAAACCAATTAAGACCTAAATACTCGGAAACCGTTCAACAAGATGATGAAGAAATTCCTATGAATGTCCTGTACAACATGTTTAAAATAGCTGTGGGAGGTAACGCAACAACTCAACTGATGATAGCAGGTAGGAACAAAGAAAACCGGTGTCGCACGTCCAACCTTCTCATGAGCCGAAAGCTCTCTGATCCCAAACAGCAAAACGAGCCTGCTTTATACAGCCGAGGACCGACCACGATTTGCATGCGAATGACGAGACAACGAGATTTCGCGTTAACTAACCGAGACTGCCCAGCATAAAATATGGGCACCGCCATTTTGGTTCCTTTTACCGTTGGGAGAACCAGAGTTTGCACACTGCATAGATTCGCATGCGTTTCCGAGGTAAGCCATTTTCACAATTTTCCCCACAATAGCACCACCCAGCACATGGGTACATCTCCTACACCAGCTTTGCCCATAGAAGCGAGATGTCATTCTCCTCAAAAGAGTAAAAGAAAAAGAAAACCAACAGCGCGGTTAAGCCCAGACCCAAAAAAGAAGATGTATTAAAAAGCTGAATTTTCTAGAGGAAAATTTCAGCTCATGAGTGGTGGCACTATAGGTGGTAACCACCTATAAGTATCCGTTAGGACAGCAGACAGGAGAGTCGAGCTGGGATTTGTGAGAACTAGTGGTCTTCTGATAGCAGCCCGCACACAACTGTACTGACTTGTGACGACCATACACATAACTATTACATCCTTGCTTGTCATACTGGTTTCTACAATAAACCTGTTACTAATTATCCACCGTGTTTGTCCATTCCATATTCCTATTAGCACAGAATATAACAGATAAATAATATCATGAAGTTGCTAATGAGATAAATTGGATGATTTCCAAAATTATTAAAAATTTTACTTGAAGACATTCATGTTTTACACCAAAAAAGCATCATCTAAAAATATATATATTTTTATAGACAGGGCGGGGGAGCATACATAATGAAGGGGCTCCCAAATTTTATTAGCCCAGGCCTAAATCTGGCCCTTCTCATCAGTAAGAACACCACATTCATTTTTTGTAAACTAAAATCAATCATAAGTAATTTGCTTGTTATTACTTTTTGTACTCCAGTTTTACAGAATAAGACAGATATTCCAGGATTATTAACTGTGAATTGTGAGGATTACCACCCATTGTAGTTTTATGCCTCAACTTTGGATTATGGAAATTTTTTTGTCACATTGTATTTTATTATATTAGCTTCCAAGAACAAATATTCCAAATCACATCTCACAAATTGATAAATATTAGATTACATAGACAAGATGGTTGAAATCTAATACATTTAGTATTTGCTTAAATAAATGAGCAACTGAAAAAATCTCAGCCCCACCTACTTCCCAAAATTTACCTATCAAAATTTTTATTTTTTCTTGATCTTTTGGCATCCTTTAGTAATTATGAATAAAAACAGAAATCATAATTGTTCATGCATTCTGAGAAATAATAACATTGAAATTTACAAAATAAGTGCTCTTTGCAGCTATAGATAATTTGAGAATTGTTATTGAAAAAAATTAGAAAGACAGTTGATGAGGTTTAGTGAAAATGTATGATTTGATATCCATTGATTAAGGGAGAAGTTTAATTTTTCTTCAGTATATCGTGTAAGAATTGGTGAGAGAAAAGTAATATTCCACTCAACCAATTTCAGCTATCATTAGTGGAGTCAATGTTGCTGCATAAGTTATTATACACTGGGAATAATAAATGTAGAGAAATTCTGACAAAAGAAAGAAAAATCCTCTAGAATGTCACAGTTTTACCAAAGATAGTCATGTGGGGTTGTTATCTCTCAAGCCTTGAGAAATAAATCCATCCATCTAGTTTGTCTGCTGCTCTGGAACAGTCTGGTTGACTATTTTCCCACTTGTGTAGGATTGTTATGTGATACTAAATATAAGGACAATTATGTTTGTATCTCTGGGTACTTGCTTCCTATAAAGATTTTAGAACCTGTCACTTGGAATTGAATGTTGGAGGTGTGTGAGCAACATGGACAAACTTGTGTGTATATTAACTGAAATAAAAACAATCCTTACATATTACAAGAATGGCAGAAACAATTCAAAGAATGTATGATGTAGCATCTTCACAGGTAGTGAAAAGAGAAGTTTTTATGCTCTTAAGGCTATATAATTGCAAGAAAAAATGAGTTAAAGTATTGAATGCTTAGGTCATCTGATGACAAGACCTCATTAAAATCTATTTGGAACCATTTTGTGGTATAGAAAATGGAAAGGTTTTTAGAGTGGCAGAGTATTCAAAAAGAATTTTAGGTTATGTTGACATGTTTTTCAAAGCTCCTGAAAATTTAACATTTTTTTCTTTCTCAAGGAGGATGTAATCCAGAGAGTTCAATGTCAAACCAGAGCAAAACCTTAAGGATCCATTGATTATATTTTATTTCCCCAGGAAAAAACCACCTTCCTGGGGAAATAAAATATAATCAATGGAAATGGACCCTTAAGGTTATCTGTTTTCTAATTAATATATATATTATAAATTAATTGATTTAAAATATGTTTTTTTTCGCTACACAGTTCTAACCATGTTTCAAAAATGGAAGCTAAAAGCCCCAAATTTAATTTTGTAATTAAATTAAAGACATTAGTTCCATTTCAACAAATAGGTTATCAATAATCTTGTATTTTCTTTTAAATATACTCCGATAAATAATATCACTGCTTTCTTTAAATTAATCAATAAGTAAAATATTATTTACTTTTTCCAATTTGCAGGGATGCTTCACTTAATAAAATCATTATTAATCATTATTATTATTATTTTTTATCTAATTTTTACAATTTTGCAGCAGTGATACGTTATCCTTTGTATTAATTTTAAACTTTATTAACCTTTTTCTGCTCATCATTAATGTTTCTGTTCTTAATTCTTCCATACCCTGTAACCCCTTGTGTTTTAGTGGCATTCCAATTAAAAAAAATAGTGCAAAATTTTGGATTTCTTTTGTAAAACCTTGAATGGTGGCTGTAGGTGGATCTTCTATGAAAACAGGAATGTATGACTGTAATGGTTTTGGAATGTAAGTCAATTTCTAACTTTGGCTGCAGGTTTACATGGCATATTGACCAAGCTGACTGTGATTTGGTGTAACATACTGTGTATGGTTGCAAATGTAACAGACAAAAAGCAACAATGTAATGCCAGTGAGGCAGAAAGAAAAGGAGACAAGATATATTAAAATCTGTATTACCAATGTATACAGAGGATCAAGGTAAAATGTCCTTTGTACTTGTAAGCAAGGATGGTGACACTTGGGGGCAAAGGAGTCTGATCTTGAAGACTGGAGAGTTGGTTGTGTACTGGCCTCATGTTGAAGCTTGTGTCAGGTTGGTTGACTGAGAGGCCACTGTGAACTGCCTTGAGGGTCACTGAGCAGGTACTTTTAAGCAGTCAGAGTGGATACATGACTTAGCATTTTTGCTTTAGTGGAAACGTTTGTGATTGGCTCCAACATTTAAGTTTATTTTATTTTTGGGGGATTTGTTTTTTGAACTAGATGCAATTCTCAGAGCCCCTGTGCAGAGAGAAACTTTCTTATTTTGCTTTCATAGTGTTCATCTGTCAGAAAAGTTTTGATATAGAGTGAATCAAAAAGATGTCTAATTTGAAGCAGAATATAACAATGGTCTACAAAGAACTAATGTCTAAAAGCTTTTGTGTTCCAAGAAGAATTGCCCTGGCAGTCTAAGTATGGAGCCATATACTATACCTGATAAACTTTTGATGCTAGCTTTTGCTGTTTTTTGCGGTTCATTGCTACCCTTAAAGCTAACATCAAATTATTACAGATTTTTTTGTTTTTTCCCCATGCCATTTGTCTCTAGATGATGTGTTGTAGTACAAACTCGTTTGCAGCCTATGTAAGGACAGACAATTACTTTTTTTATCCCTACAATCTTATACCTATGTAAAGAAGGAATTAACCATCAGATCACTGTTTGTAAGTTATATTTATTTTTTATGGATTGATGATGGTAATATTAACTGTTATAACTTTTTTTACTATTTAATCCTATGTTGGGTAGGAAAAATTTTGAAGACAGATTTCTTTTCAATTTTTTTCAATCTTTAAGCAGATTTTGTTCAGGTTGAAAAAAAAGTAAATTTTGTTTAAAACACAAATCTATTATTTCAAAATTTTAAGAAATGAAAGATGATTTTTATAAACTTAATCATAATCTGCAATAAATATTGAAGATTTAAAACAATATGTAAAAACACTGATTACATTCCAGTAAAAAAATTATAAGTCAAAGTGATTAAAATCATAATTATTCATGCATTTTGCACCTGATAATCATAATTATAGAATGAAATTGTATCAGTTTTGATAAAATAAATTTTCTAATAAATTAAGTGTTTACCTGTTTCATCAATAAGAGTTGCATTATCATCTTCTTCAATAATATATGCCATAGTCATCATGGATAAAACTTTAAACATCTCATCCTTTGAGGATATAAATGGTTGAATTACCTGAAAAAAAATTCAGTCATTTCTGAGAAAAATTAAACAAATAGCTAATTTCACCTTTACTTTAAAAGTGAAAGGAAATTGAATTGCCCCTCTAAGAAAAAAAAATCTATTTATGCTTTGTAAACCTGATGAAATATACAACAGATACAATTTATTTCACCTTAAAAGACAAAAATAATTGTCAGTTATTAATTAACTTACCATATTTAAGCCAAGGTTTATTAAAAACTAATGACTGTTTTAATCTAATTATAAAAATAATAGAATTGTTCAGGATTTTTTTAACTATAAATCATAAAGTGCTCAGGAGAAAAATTTGTAGAATTACCTTTTTTTTTTCCTACCCATATTCCACTTTCAAAATAGCTGTTCTTCTGGACATATGTAGAAAACAAAATGCTGTCACAGAAATGTTATTTTTTAAAAGGTTTCAATTAACATAAGCACCATACAGAGTAGAGTTAATGGCAATCCTAGAAAGGAAGGAGGAACTGATCTAAATGACAGGCAGCTAACTGCTGCTGTGAATGAAAGCTAATAATCTCATTATAACTGACAGAAGAATCACTATTACAAAACTCTGTGAAAGCCTTAAGGAGAGCCATGATAGTGCCTGGTGTTTAGTGCCATCTCTTCACTACTCAAAAGTCTGTGCAAAGTGAATTACCAAAATGCTGAGATTCAATGAAGGATCAGAGTGTCTGGTTGTTGTCCAAGAACTTCTGGAGCATCACAATATTGATAGCACCTTCCTAACTTCAATGAATAGAGGTGATGAGACTTGGGTTTATGACTATGAACTAGGGAGCAAAAGAAGATCAATGGAATAGAATGGCACTAACTAGAAAAAAGAACTTATATAAAAAGAACTTATATTCCACAGTCAAAGTGATGGTCACTGAAATTTAAGACCAAAATGGAATCATATTAGAATGCTCAATGGCACCACTATCAATCCTGAATCCTACATGATCACGTTGTCAAAACAGTGATGTGCTTTTGAAACAATGCAAGATCTCACAGCAGCTGAAATAGTAGACAAACAATCACAACATATGGTTGAACAGCCTTGTCTCATCTCCCCTACAATGCTGACTTGGCACACTCAGTTGTTCATCTGTTTGTGCCCACCTTGAACTACTTGATATCTGCTGAAGAGGCTGGCTACTACACAAAATAGTGAGACAGAACATAAACTTAATAAATTGAACAGTTGTAACTCCAAAAAGTCACCTTTGAGAAAAATATTTTAAGACTTGGTATGGAGAATTGTTATTTTCCTGTCATACAAAACTTATCAAATTTATCTATAAATCAACTAGAAGTATAACAGACTTTTAATGTTACAAATGAAGACTAAAAATTGTGTATTTTTAATCAGATAAGATATAGATATATATAAAAGACCTTAAGCGATATAACTATTCAAATATATCTGAATTCTTTCACAGGGATTAATTGTAAATATATTTAGGGCAAAAATATTAAACAAAACTCTTACTGTTTATTAAACCAAAAAAAAAACAAACAATTTTTAACGGTGACTATTTACATATAGTAAACAACTTAGTGATTGATATAAGAGAATTTTGTGAATTATTTTATTCACAACAAATTTGTATCTTTTTTCATAGTCATAACTCACATTTATTTCTATTTAACAAAATTATTTTGGAGTTATAATAATTCATACTTTTAGTACCTTGAAAAATAAAGGTCACAACAATTTCACTGATAGACACTACAGAACAAATATTTACAACACATACCCAATTAACTTTTTAAATGACCATTCAAATTATTAGCAATAATATGAAGATGAAAACATGGTATTAAAAATGACCCATCACTCAGATACCAACACTGGATCAAAATATAATTCAGATGCTTTAAAGAATGAATGGCATAAAGTTCAGTTAATTTTCATGAATATGTTTAAAAAACAGATTTACCTCTGAAGTTTTTTGTTCCTTGAAATAATGTTTGATTGACGGATTTCTGGCAATGTTATGAAGGATGCTAAGTGATGCTTTAATAATATAATGAACATTCTGAAAAAAACAAACATAATAATAATAAAAAGAAAATATTTTTCAATATCTAAATATTATCATTAAAATGTTAGTCATATATTTTAAAGAGATTTGATAATAAAATATTGTATGTTTTTCTTTATAAAAAGTATGTTTTGATTTCAAATTGAGAAGTAAGAACATTAGACTTAGCAAAGATCAGAAAGCTGAATAAATAAATGATACAAACAAAAAGTAAGTTTAATTCTGAAATATTTGTGGAAATTATAAAAAATGTTGGAATGGTTTGATGAGAAATATTTAAAGCTCATTATATTTAAAAGAAAAAAAATATCATCAATATACATTTAAAGGTCAATAAAGAGAAATGTGATAAATATTCTACTTCAAAAATAATAAAAATTATTTTCTTATTTGTCAGTGTTAAATTATTTATATAATATGAAATTGAGTCAGGTGTAAAATATATTTCAATATTCTTTAAATGTAAACAATTAATAATTAAAAATATATGATCATTAAAGTTATTTAATAACAAATGATTCAAGTCAAACAATACATAAATAAAATTTATGTATAAAAAGAATAAGGCTCAGTTAATTTGTAAGTATATTCTCTTTTGGAAGGAAGAAGGCACAATATTTCAGAATTCATTGAGAATTAAAAAAAGACAAAAAATTAACTTACCTTACTATGAATTGCATTCAGGTAAGGTTTATGTCCACAGTTACAGGTCAGCAGTCTTACAGCATCAGCTTCAGCTAAACTCTTAACAAAACAGCAAGTAAATTTTAAATAATATATTTTTTACATTTTATGAAATTATTAATTTGAGATTTATGGGAGAAAATGTGCTATAAAGGAATTACTGATATCAGTATTTACATAAATTGAATTTTATTTGATAAGCCATAAACCAAATTTATTTTTTAACAAAGGCAGCTTCTATATTTTTTCATTTTCAAAAGCAATTCATGTTATATTCATAAAAGGTGATATTATCACTTTTTAATAATGTTTAAAGCTTCCAATTATGTAAACATATACAACTGAAAGTGTAAGAACATTAACAAGTAATTTTTCTATCTAAGTAATATGGATGCTAAAACATATAAAATCACTACAAATGTTTTAACCATAATAAATTTTATATAATTATAATGTTAACAGAAACCATTATAATACAATAGAAGTAGCCATTTAGAAAATACTTTGCCTTTCTACAGCATGGATGTTTACATACATCATATCTAAGTTATAATTCTTAAAAAATAAAACCAGATATCATCACATGCAGTTAAAAAAAAAGCAACAAAAAGAACTGATTCTTGTTATTTGACTTCCAATCTCATTTAATTAGTTGCTTATCTCATAAACTTCATGTATTATTAGAATGAATAAGCAACTTTTTCCCAACATAACAATATTTAATTACAATAATAGTGAAAATTACTTTAATTCAAATTATAATAATTTTTTGCATCACCTTTTAATAACTTCATATCAAAGCTGTTTGATATCTAGATAACTGTAGCTATTACATTGTCAGAATTTATTATGCAAGTCAGTGTTTTTACAATAAAATTGGTACACTGGTAAGATTTTCAAAACATACATATGATAAATATACCATATGAGCTCATATTTTTATTAGAAATATTCACAATAATATATTTGGTGCTGTAAGATTTTATTATGCAACCAAATGTTCATCATATTGTAAATAAATATATATATAATACAGTTACTGAAATTTATTTTTTTAATTCCAAATATTGTAATAGATCATACGAATTATGTAATCTCAGAAAATGGAAACAATATTAGAAGTTGTGGATAAGTTGAAGAAAGATCAGAACCATAAAAAAATTGGCAAGACAAGAACAAGCTTAAAGAAAACTTACTTTAAGAACACCGTAAAAAGAGATTTTAGAAAAATTAAATTGGAAAAATAGATTGGATAGTAAGAAAATATTTGAAGCTGGTATTGTAAATGTAAACAGAGAGAAAAGATGCAGAATATTAAGAAGACTGGTTAAAGATATGAAAATAATAACTTGTACTGATTTCTCAAAATAATTTTTACTGATGAATATGGAGCAATATTGGAGAGACATGAGTGCTGGACTAAGAAAAATAAAAAATACAGAAAAAAGATAATCAACATGATTTAGGGGAAAGTGGAGTAATGTTCTGGGCTGGTATTTTAAGCAGTACAATAACAGGTCCCTTCAGATGGTATCAAGATAAAGACAATTATTTTAATTTCTTGTACCAGACATTTTTGAGTGCTACAGGTTACAACAAAGAAGCCTTAATCTAACAAGTATATTCATTTGTGACAATGATCCTTCACATTTTGCAAAGCCAAATCTTGTCTACAGTGTCAAAATGATTTTCAAAGACATCATATTCCTTTTCAGTTATTCAATGATTAGAAAGTGTGGTCTATTATTAAAACAGAAGTATATGAAAATGCAAAACAATATTCAAAGAAAAAAAAATCTCTGGAAAGCAATAATAACTGTTGTTAGTAATGTTAAAGTTGAAAGAGTAGAAAAGTTAAGAAAATCAATGAATGAAACATTGTTGAAAGAGATAGAATATCAAGGAGCTCATATTAATATGTAAAATAATAAAATATTAATCTATTCCAGTTTAAATGTAACACTATTTGCATTGCTGGTAATTAATAATCATAATGGCGACTTAAAATATCAATGAAAATGAGATAGTAATGAATAACTTAGCATGAAAAGGGTTAACCAATATCAGAAAAATAGGCTGATAGTAAGATTGTTCCCAGAGAATCAAAATATGTACAATTGCCAACTGAAGGGTAACAGGCACAGAAGAGACATTAAGGAGGTTGAAGAAGCTGCTCATGCCCATTGGAAGGTAATGATGAGAGATGGTAGTAAGAGAAAGTGGAAGCAGCTAGGCGGAGTGATGCCTGTAACCATCTCCCACGAGAGAGGGAAAATTCCCCAAAATTATGAATGAATTTAATTTCTCAAGACCAGAAACAATAGACTTTTTTTGGAAATCAGGGGATTCACTTAAACCCAGCCTACATCTTGCCCCACACCAGTTTCTAGTTGAAGTCCATAAAAATGAATGCGTGAAAGCCATTCAGTCAGTTCAGTGCAGTTCAGAGCCAGAGTTGCGAGCTGATAGTTGAGAGCGGTGGAGGTCGCTGAGAGATTTCACATTTCCTACCAAACACAAGAACCTCTGACTTCAGCCTTGAGCCAAACTTGCCAAAGCAGTAAAACAAACTAACTTTGTAAGCCAAAAAAAACTTACCAGCTTACCCAAGTGTTGCATCCGATTTAGGAACAGATTGGGTTGACAAACACCTGTATGTGAACACAACTACTAACAAACCATTATATGCAGTATTGATATAAAAATAGTTAACTTTTTATATATATATTTCAAGTGCTGTTTTTTTTCTCCAATTTTATTGTACAACTTCATTTGATTTGGACCAGCCCAACACAAATCAACAGCCTGCGATGACTCGATTTTGGCCTCCTTATAATCAAATCAATCACAACGTGGGGTAAAGCCAGTCAGAATTGAAGAGATCACTCCATTGATTAAACCAGGATCCACCACGGGCTGACCATGATAAAAGGTTACATTTGTTGCTGTTTGTTGTGAACCAGGATTGATTGAGATGTTACATAAGGAATATTTTGTTAATCAAGTATATTTTGGATCTATAAACAAAAATTTATGTAGTACTTTGCAAATTAAAGCCTACAACATACTAAAACAAATTATCATCAATATTTTAATTAAATAGGAATAGGTTAATAAATTGTAATTCATGTTATATACAGCTCATAAGAATGTAAGTATATTGTGAACATTTTTCCAGCATCTGTTGACTGTTTTATTGTGAAAACATTAACTTGCATATTGATATCTGACAGTGTACAATGTCTAGACCATTTCATTTTTATATTTGAAAACTCGTTTCTGTTTTTTAATATTTTTATTTATTAAAATCTCCAAAACTAAGAATAATTATTTTTTAAACCTACCAGTGCTAATTGTGCACTTGCATCTGAGAAATTCCACATGGTATTATAAGCATAATAGGTTGGAAACCAAACTTCATCATTTTTGAAGATTCCAATAATGTTCAAAGCTTTCAACATTTTCATGGAAACATCTGCAATAAACAATAAAAATTACAAATGTTATTTTTCAGTTAAAAAGCAAAAGTTATTCATATAAACAACAAAATTAATCAATTTAAAGAATTTTCATGATGATTTTTGACACTATCAATTGCCCCTTTTTTGTTTCAACAAAAATAATCCCTTTTACTGAATTTCATTTGTGAGATAACCAAAGTAGAGAAAAATATGGTTTGATGAAAATTATTACCAGTGTTGATAAAATTCTATAAAAAGTAAAATTTTGAAAAAGCAAGTCAAACAAAAAATATTAAAGACAAAGGGAATTACATGTATGAGAAAATGAGCATTCAAATTTTCAGAGCCTGAAGCTCTTCCAACCCACAAAAGGTACTTCAATAAATGTGATATGAAAATAATGCCTGTGATATTTTATTCTAGAAATTATCTTTAATTTAAAATTAGTTTATTTTTGTAAGAAAAGTGATTAAGATTGTTAGATAATTGTTGGGAGATTGAAAATACATAAAAATAAATAAATATACATTTTCAAATTTTGTCTACAATTACAATTTCATCAAATCTAAAAATAGACACATAAAAACAAACTTTGTGCTGCCTTCGCACAGCTGTCATAGTAAGCACACATAACTCTTCTCAACCAATGGGAACATGACAAAAAATATTAAATTTTGGTTTTCATTTTGAGCCACCTCCAGCTTATATAAGAATGGACCAAAAGCCATACAGGAAAATCACAGCAAGCACACAAGATGCCTCACAGCAAGCACATACAGGAGCGCACATCAGTCCACACAGAACAATACAAAAACATACTCACAGCAAGCACACACAGGAGTACACATGTAGTTTTTTCACACCATGCCAAAGAAAACTTCTCATTCGGGCACTCATGACATACAGAGAGATTGACTCAAGTGAAATAAAATACTAGCCCAAACACCCAACTATATCAACTGCAGAAAAAGTGAGTTACTTATATTCATAAGTATATCTGTATACACTTACACAAATACATATAACATCTTCACACCAACATATATTACACATACATTCACACATCCATACATACATGGACATTTGTTTACTCAAACTTTATTTTGCGAGACCCTTTATGAACTCTCTTAAACCCTTTTGAGAGTATCTTTTCTCTTTACGTTAATTGACACCATTGTTGTTATTAAACTGTATCCAAATTTGCTAGATGATTCTTTGTTTTAGGCATACAAAGGATTGTTTGTCCTTTTTTTTCTCTCATTTGCTATCGGTCAAAATGTTACCATCCCTTTCCCACAAAAGGGATTTGTAGTAAATACCTTCATTCAACAGTCAAAACAAGGCCAAAAACAGCCAGCATTCAGCAATGAATCTTTATTCAGAAGAAATCAAGGAAACAATTCTGTGTTGTAATATATTATTCTTTCTAATACATGGAAACTTTATATATGCACATTTTACTAGGATTTACTGTAGATAGGAAACCCTGAGAAATTGATGGTTACTATAATTTACAGTAATTGAGATGAACATTTGTAAATTATTTTTTTATTTCTTCTTACTGAACAGCATCTTTATATACAATATATTTTCAAAATTCCTAGTTATTAATTTTTTAGAATATATGTATATTGTAGCAAATGTTAGAACTTTTTTTTTGACATGCATGCATAAAAAACACTATGAGGAGCAGAGAACCTTTTTCAGTTTTCGGGCATGTGTAAAAAGAAAAAACTGGGAACATGCATGTTGTAAACTGAAAGAGGCTACTTCTTTTTCATCTTGGGCCAACATTGCAACAGAATGCTAAAATTAGTACTCCATGCAATAGATACAACATGTCATAGACAGTACACATCATTAGCAGAGTAAGTTTAACTTTTTCTTCATTATTTAGAGACTCTTAAGGACATTTCTTGAAATTTTCTCTACACAAAAGATGTTCCCTGTAGTGAAATGAGATACTGTATAAAAGGCAGTATTACTATACCTATGGGAGTGTTATCTTCCCTTGACAAGACTACATTTATCAGAGAGAATACCTATCATAACAATATGGCATCAGCAATCAGTTACTTAACCATGATGGAGGATCCTGAATATATTGAAACCTGGCTTAGGTACTTTGCAGCATCAGCAAGAGTGAAAAAGTTAAAGGACACTAAAGCTAGTGAAGGAGAAAATGAAGTTATAGATTTGCTTTCGGACTCAGCATGATGTGAAATCATGAAAAAAATCTATGTCATGGTCTATCCCAATGTGTTGGAAGATTTAGTGTATGAAGAAATTGCTGCCATCATAGAAAAATAGAACCAAAAAAAGACTGGTCATAGCAGAAAGAACTAAATTTCTTGAAAGTAGACAGAGACCAGACCAGACTATTATGAAATATATACAGCAATTGAAAGAAGCATCGAGATATTGTCAGTTTGAAAAATGGGTTTGGATACAAGCTAATTTTACTATGACTGATTGAAAGAATGCTTGACATCTCATACAAGCATAAAATTCTAGAGCAGCTTCAAGCTCATAATATGAATCTGGAATCATGTATAGAGTTCTTACAACAATTGGAATTGATTCAAAAATTTAATGCCTCTGAAGGTAGTATGGAGAATTATAGTGCTACTGAAAGCTTACTTGTATGCAGATATTGCAATAAGAACATGAAAAGAACAAAAATAAGTGTCTAGAATTTAGGAAATGGTGTTTTAAGTGTAAAAAGAGGAATCATTTCCAGACAGCATACACATATGAATACAAGTGAAAAAAGTGTAAAATATAGATCCTTTGATTGAAAATACAGATGTATTTGAGATAAAGGTACAGGATAAAAGTAGGGAAATGGTGAAGTTGAATGTGTAACTTTACTCATGCAGGTGGATACTGGAAGTGATATTATGTTGATACCAAGGAATTTTGGGGAAAGAATGAATAGACCAAAGTTAAAAAAAAGTAATCTCTAGTTGAAACAGTTCAATGGGTCAATTATCAAAATTTTAGGATGCTTTGAAGGCACATTTGAGGCAAAAAACAGATTTAAGATAGTACCCATCATAGTGGTGGAAAATATCAAAAGCCATGGTCTTTTAGGAATTCATGTGTTAATAGTTAATAAAGTTGATAAATTCCATGAAGTCTGAAGAAATGGATTAATATCTGGTTCTACAGACTATTATTAACGGGACACAAGGAAAGTATTCAGCTTAAAGAAAGCAGTCAACCCATGTATTTTCAAGCCCAAAAAGTTTCTGTTCACATGCTGCCCTTGGTGGTTGCTAAGCTGAACAAAATGGTGGACCAAGAAAAAGTCAGCCAGGGTTATGACAATTGGGCTTCACACATTATAGTGATATGCAAGCCCAATGGAGATTTAGGAATTTGTGGCGATTATAAGGTGGGCATGAATCACCAGATCTGTATGGATTCATTCTCATTGCCAAACATTGAAACAGTATCCCATGAGTTTGCTGATATTTTATACTTTGCTAAAGTTGAGCTTAATCAGCATATTAAAAAGTTTTAGAGGGGATTAAAAATATAATTGTATATTACGATGACATTGGTGCATGCAGTAAAGAAGAGCTCTAAAGTAAAATGGAGCAAGTTTTGAGAAAATTAAATAGTGCAGGTATGACAATCATGATAAATGAGAGTTTAATTGTGAAAAAATTTCATACCTAGGGTAACAAATGACCAAAGATGGTATATCACCAGATGATAAACTCATTAATAAGATATTAGAGATAGCTGCACTCAGCAATGAAAAAGAGTTAGGATCTTTTTTTAGGATTAAGCAATTTCTATAACAGATACCTACTGTGATATAGTGACCTGGTAGAACCATTTAACAAAATAAGGAAGAAGAATACCAACTTTCAATGGACAAAAAGACAGATGGTTGCTTTCGAGAAATTAAGAAAGGCACTCATAAACAAACCTGTTGTTAAAATATTTGACCCAGCAAAATAATTTATACTATTTACATTATTCGGACTATTGTCCTCATCTTTGTTGCCATAGTTATCACAATGTTTGTATGCTCTGGCCTTCTTCAGGTGGCTTGAATGTCGGACTGAACTTTTTATTTCACTCGCTGGGGTAGACTGTTCTAGTTCCACATGCCACGTCTAATGGATTACAGTTATCAGTTATCTCCTGTTAATTCCCCTCTCCAAGTTCTCCACCACTTTAACCAGGTATTGAATTCACACTCTTTGGGTCCTGTCACTGGATCTAACTAATGCTTCAGATGTTCGAAACTCTGCCCACTTCATGGAAATAATTAAAGATGCCCCCATCCTATCCAACCTGACGGTGAGCTTGGACGTGGTGAGTTTGTTCACCAAGGTACCCACGGAGGAGGCACTCTCAGTAATCAGAGACAAATTGGCCTCTGACTCATCCCTAAAAGAACGGACCAGTATTCCAATAGATAATCTGATGGAGATGTTGACTTTCTGTACACATGTACTTCGGAATAGGATCACATGTATATCGACAGGATGAGGGCTTAACAATGGGCTCGCCATTATCACTAGCAATGGCGAATATATACATGGTATACTTTGAGGAAATGGAATTAGAATCTATATCTCTAAAGCCAACTATATGGTTAAGGTACATAGATGACACCTTCATACTCTGGCCACACCAGGAAAATATTCAGGCTCTACTGGACCATGTGAAAATAAGACCTCTGATACAGTTCATGATGGAGAAAGAGTAACAGTATACTCCCATTCCTGGATGTTCTAATATCTTGAACAGAGCATGGATTCAAGACATCTGCATACCACAAACCAACATTCACCGAACAGCACCTCAATTTCAACTCCCACCATCCATACAGCAAGCAAAAGTCATATGTGGCGACCCAGAGACATTAGATAAAGAATTGGTCAGTATAAGTAGTACCCTAC